CTGGAGCGATGAATTGTGTTCCCTTCGACGCGCTTCAGCTCTAGCTCGGGCCAACTTGGACGTGAAATCTTGTGCGTGACTGGATGCAGCGTTCGAGACGTGAATCTGACGCAAAGCGGGAATGGAATGAGAGAGCTGGGCGTTCCTGCTCGTCGTGCTGCTGCTGCCGGGATCAGGCGCCAGCGAAAAGGATGCCCCGTCTACATTTGATGGACCAGCTTGAGGAGACACTCGGACTGATTGGTCTTGCTGCTGCTGCTGTGCTCGTGCGGCGTATACCATGCTTGTCTCAGAGCCCATCACCTGCGCTTCCCATGCATGCAAACAAAGAAGTCGCGCGAGCAGCGAGGAGCGAGTCCAAAGTCTGAGCTCACAACCGTCGCGTTTTCTGAAAGTGTGATGAGCGCTTGGGCCAAAGAAGGGAGCTATTCAAATGCTCCCTGCTTTGCGATGAGGCTGGTGTCCACTTTTTGACCCGGTCGCTGGTCCAGGCATGGTGGTGGGAGTGGTGGTGGCAAGAAGCGCAATGATGTGGAGGGATGCCGGTCAAGAAGTCACGTCGGACAATCTCTTTTGCAGACGCACAGGTCACGTGATCAATTACCATTCACGTGATTTTTGATTTTGATTTCTGATCGGTCTCGCGCACGACTTTGGAGACATGGCATGGCGCCTGCGAGTCGTGATGCGCGTCTGCTTCAGCGACCCGACGCCCCCAGCACTGGTCGCGAGTGATCACAGCAGAGACTTTGACTGTTGCATCCTACCCTTTCACCATCATCACTCCGATAACTTCACCTCCATATTCTGACTGCCACTCATCGATCTCAGACCATCGCTACTGCTCCACAAGTGCTTCTTCATTCCATCCAGCAGTTGCAAGAGCAGAGTTGACGCATTTCAAACTGGTCATTCGCGCATCCCATTCAGCAGTTGAGGCATTTCAAACTGGTCAATAAGCCCCGGTACACTTTCAGCAATGTATCTGTGAGTGCTGCACATGCGGTCGACTGGCCCGTGCCAGTGTAGGACGCTGATGTCGGCCTGTACTGCTCGCCACTGCAGCAGCACATCACAAGGCATGTCGGTGGCAGGTCCAAGCGTCACTTCTTCAGCACCCGCCTCCTCTTCGACAAGAGCTCCAACGCGCTCATCCCACAATATAGCGGGCAAGAAGCGCTCTACACCGTGGGAATTGAAGATGGAGCAGCGCAAAAAACAACAAGAGGTCAAGGATATGGAAAGGAGGATGAAGGAGGAGGTGGAGAATGCCAGAGCTGCGTGAGTGATGGCGGTGGTGGTGGCCATTTCAGCTGCTACAGGGGTCGAAGTGGCTCCGGAGACGAGCACTTCCTTAGCACACGCTCCATTCATGAGCTTACATGCTGTAGCCGTTTGGTACTGACTTTCATCATGGTGTTCGTCATCACCACCACACACCGCTCGCCGCATCTACAGCAAAGGACAGGCGATTCGAGAGCGAAGGCAGAAAGCAGCCGAAAAAGCCAGATTGGAGACCATGGCTACTAGAGTGAGTGTGCTCCAGCATGCTTCTTTGCACGATACGCGCTGGGTGGTGCAAGAGCGGGTGTTTTTTCTGGCACGGCAGCAAGTGTGCATGCGTCATTATGCTCACTCTACATGTTTGGCTTTATTTTGCTGCTGTGTAGATGAGTCAAAAGAAGCTAGACAGGAAGAGGAGACGTCTGGGCATCACAAAGAAGGTTTCGCATTGATTTGCGGCTACTTCTCGGGGAGAGGAGAAGAAGAAGCCAGCCAGCCGGATGAGCCACGCAGTACACACCTCTCGCTCTCCTACTACACCTCACTTGGAGCAGAAATCTACTGCCGCGCAGCCCTGCTTCAGCGAACTTGCCCTGTCCTATCATGAGCCGCACTTTCAATCTACGCGATCGACTCCTCTTCTCCTGCTTCGTCAGTCGAATAGCGTCAAAGACACGCACCGAAAAATGCTCAAACATTTGCATACATTGTGGGACGCGAGTGCTTTCCGAAGAACTAGAGCGTGTTCAGCTCAAAGTCACACCAAAACAGAAAGGTCTAAGTCTTCGCCGCTCTAGCCCTGGTCGTTCTGCGCGCAACAATTGGCAAACTCTCCTCTTTCTTGCCCGTCCTATCCGCCGATCCGGCCGAGTCTTCCTGCTCCACCTTCTGCACGCTCGCGGCGCTCTGTGTTCTCTTGGCGCTTCGGGTAGATCGGGTCGATCTGGAAGATTTGGGCTCTGGTGCAACTTTGTCGTTCGAGCTCCCTTCGTCCTGCGTCGATGTGCCAGTGTTCGGTCGAGAAGGGCCCTTATCCGGCTCTGCTTTGGCGCTGCTCTCCGCGCGCAAGGCTGTCCGCGCACGGGCTCGAGTTCGAGCAGTCAAATTCTCAGCTTTGTGCGCTTGAACGGACGCCTCCGTGATCGCCGCTTCGGTAGTGACCGCATCGTCCGCTCGCTCCTCTGCAAATTCTTCTGCGCCTTTGGTCTTGGCAGCTCGACCTCTGGTCGATCGAGTGCCCACACGAACAGCGTCCAAGGGTACATCAGCCGAAGTCGGAGCTTTTGGTATCCGATTCGCAAGCTTCTCCACGTCTTGCGCCTCTGCTTGACTCTCCTCCGTGAGCATCGCAGCAGCTCTTTTTGCCCTTCGACTGCGTGTCGACGGTGCCTCAACCTGGGCTGCGGAAGAATCAGAGCTCGGCTCATCTTTTGCAGCGCTCCTTTTGGCCTTCTCATCCTTGTCGTTGCGTTTTGCGTCCGATATGGCAGTAGAGGGGTCTTCAGAGGTGCCCTTGACGGCTCTTCTAGCCCGAAGCCCACGCCTACATACTTCTTCACACCCCATAACGTGGCGCAAATCTTTGTCTGAGCTGGTCAGAGCCTCCGCGCTGGCGGTCATGACGTCGGAGCCTTCTTGCGTGTGCGGCGCAACATCCTTCAAAGTCGCCTTTGTGCTCCCTTTCGATCGAGTCGATCGGCTTGTAGGTCTCTCAACGATGTTGTCAGCTTCCTTTGCGTTGCCTTGCCCCTCACTTTCTCGTGCGCCTTCCTCATCGCTTCGGTCCATCACTGGGAGCGTTTCGGATAGGCTCTTGGTCGAGTCAGAATGCGCATCTACTGCCGCCGCAAGAGCTTCGAAAGATTCCACTTGTGCACTGCGGGAAGCTGCTTTCGTCTTGTTCTTCCTCCTTCGACCCCTGCCCGTCTGCACAATAGCATCTTGCAGGCCCGCCTCACTTTCCAGATCCGCAAAGAAGGCTTCCGAGCTCGGCTGCGGAAGAGGCGGAGCGTCCGAAGAGGGTGCTTCTTGCGCTTGCGC